TAGTTTAATTGCAAGAAAGTGAAAAGGAAGTTAAATATCAAATATGGTAAGATAGGTGGGTGCATGGATGGATGGACAGATGGAGTAATCTGGTGCATTGACTCATTCGGGGTCTGCCCCCCATCCTCTATAAACACAGGAAGTCCCCTTCGATCTCATTGTTTTCTCTGTCCTGACACCATTTACAACTATTTACAAGTTCAGTGGATTAGTCATACTGTAGCCCCCGTGCTTTTGTCGAGCCAGAGGAGAAACCTAATCCATGCCAGTGTTGAGATGATTAGGAGAGTGTTTATCAAACCAACCTGTGTTTGGTTAGTTTGGAACAGTTTCTGATGGACTTTTTGTAAACTGTGTGTTGACATGTGTGTAATGGTCCCCAAATGAGACACCTTTGGAGGTTTTGGAACATTTTCAATGGACAGTTAGCACAATCCCAAAAGCCAAGTTTTAATGAATAATGTCATCAATAGTTTGGGTCTGGCAGTGAATGAGTGGTTGACTTGGGATCAACACATGGAAATCTTTCCATTTTATAAAATTACTGGGGGATTTTCTGCAGTGATATAGTTTTTGCCTTAATTAAAAGTGGAACTACTCTTAAGAAAGCAGCATCAACATCATCAGTTAGTCCTGTTTCAGCTGAGACTTGGATGCAAAAGCACTTCATAATCTTATACTGAATAATTTTTTCTTCCAGCTGGTAATGTTGTTGTGAGTGTTTTGGAGAATGCATGTGTCTTCAACTGAAGTGTATCCAAAAGTGAACATACAGCATTGCTCAGCAATTGTAAAACTTTGTACAGTTATTTTTGCATAGACAAATGATTTAAACTATTACTTCATATTAAATTAAACTAATGGCAGATAAATGAATCATTCCTAGCCATATTAGGACATTACATTTGTACAGTCTGTACACAGAGTGGGATGTAGGGTCATTGTAGGTCTGAGTATTGAAGAAATGCAGTCATGCTGCGTTATTGAAATTCACACTCATTGTAAAAGTAAAACTAAATACCATTTTTCAAGTGAAATTATTGTGTTTGGACTATTACATTGATGTTGTTTGGGCATCGTATTGGTACACGTTGAATTATTCTAAATGCATAATGCAACATGCCTTAGAGGAATGATTTTACTTTTTAGAACATATTATTCGCTTTCTTGACAAGAGTTAAATAAGAAGATTAATATATTCTTATATCTGTCTGTTCAGCTGAAACCAGGAGGCAATTAGCTTAGCTAAGCATAAAGAGTGAAATCAGGGGGAAACTGGTAGCCTGCCTATGTCCAAAGTTTAATAATCCACCTACTAACACACAGTTAATGGTGTATTTCTTGGCAACCAGCAGCTGGGTGCAGTGACTTTCTGATGTCTCCACTGGTTGTCTGGAAATAGTTACAGCTAATAACTCTCCGTAAATCCACAACTTTCACATTTCTGTGTTTGAATTAAACAACCAAGATACAATGTGTTAGTGAGCTTTAGAAATGCTGGTAGGCAGATCATTAAACCCTAGACAGAGGCTAGCTGATTTATGCTAAGATAAACAGTCTCCTGGAACTAGCGTAACATTTTTTTCATTCAATTCTCACTAAAATAGCAAATAAACATATTACCAAAATGTCAAACTATTCCTTTAATGTAGTTTCAGTTGATGTAACTCCCACAGCTATGAAGCAACTGAAGCAATTATATAACACCCTTGAGCACTGTCTATTTTGTTGTCTAGCCATAGCTCATAAAAGTAAGTCCAAAAGAACACAAAGACACTGATAATGGTGTTATATAAGAGAGCGAATATAAATATCTAAAATAAATATTAACACTGATTTCAAATGACAGTAATCCAACCACAGCCTACACTGTACACAGATGACAAGTATTTGTCATCAGTACAAATTGAGACTATTTGTTATAATCTCTAGTTAATGAGGGAGAATGTATGCAGTCCTGTGTGATTCCTGCTCAGTAGAAAGACAGCCACAAGTGTTGACCTGCTGAACTGTCTGTGGTTGTAGTGTAACTGCTAGAAATCTGTTGCAGCACATTTACAGGACAGAGTCAGTAA